GAAATGGATTAATTTAAGCTGTAAGAACAGTTAGCAAGAAGCCTGCCACAGCCATACAGTTTGTAAGCAATATAAGTCTCTGTGTTTACTTGATCAGGTCTGAGCGGCTGTGGGACTGGCAGGTGAGAGAGATTTGTCCTGACTGTGGGCCAGGCAGGAAAACTCTAGCTACACTCAGGTGTTGAACATGGCCATGAACATGTCATTAAAGCAGTAATGTGTGAATGGATGATTCTGATGTCATCTCTTTTTTTTTTTTTTTTTTTTTTTTTTTTTTGGTTTTTTGAGACAGGGTTTCTCTGTGTAGCTTTGTGCCTTTTCCTGGAACTCACTTGGTAGCCCAGGCTGGCCTCGAACTCACAGAGATCCACCTGGCTCTGCCTCCCGAGTGCTGGGATTAAAGGCGTGCACCACCACCGCCCGGCTCTGATGTCATCTTTATGTCAGCCCTGATCACTCAAAAGAAATACAAGATTGACAGCATTCAAAACTAACTTAGACATGGTTCTTAAAGAAATTTCCAAGCCCAATCTCCACAAAATGTGGGAAGAGTTAAAATAAATGATCAGGAGTGTAACTGACAATACAAGTCTTAAAAAGTTTTTGACTGATTGACCAAAGCCACAAGACTGAGTTTATCTCCAGTGTCATAAATGAGCAGCAATGCAAACCCACAAGGGCATACGTGGGGTGTACCCATGTTGGAGTTTATACCTCTTGAAAGGAGAGAAGAGGATCTCACAAGAATTAAGACTGACTTGTCTGAATGGGATCATATTCTGCTTCCTTGACGCCTGTAAAACTTTCAGGTGGGGCCCAGGATTGTGGTGACTCCAGATTACATCCAGGTTGTCAGGAGATCCACAAGTCATTCTAAGGCTAGGGCAATCAGGCATTTGCAAAGATCTGTAGAGTATGAAAGAATTGTTAGGGAGGGATTTTTGGTTGTGAAAACCCAGGATCACATGACCAGAAAGCAAGGCTTGGGGTGTACCTGAGGACAAGCAGTCACCTAATTGTGTTCTCTGTATCCTCTCAGCTGTGGTGGATCACTGCCCTGCAGGTCTCCCACTCTTTCCTGTTTTTTGACAACTACATGTAGCTGTCAGTGACAATTCCCTGTGGGCCCTCACTTTGTGGTCTCAACTTAGACCTTAAAGTTCCTCAGTCCCCACCCTGTCAATCCCTGTAACCTGCCTTCCTGGTAGGAATAAGAACATTCTAAAGAAACATTTAGATCTCTCCTTTTGGTAACAACTAGTGAAACAGTGGACCCTATGAAATTTCCCTGTGAGAAAAGACTGAGTATTCCAAATGAGAATGTCTCTGCTGAGGAAACATTCTTTATCTGACCGCCTTACAGGAGAGACAGGATCTGAGAATGTGCGAGGATAGAGATGTGAAAATTGAGTATATTCCTTCATTAGATTACTTAGTTTTGCATATATTTGCTTCCTGTCTAAACCTGTTAGGACCCCTAGGATGGATTATTTACTTTATATTTTCATCATTGTTCCAAATTAGTCAAACTGAATACATATCATGTTTTAAATTTTCATTAGTAATTTTGCTTTTTTTTGTTTTCTATTCATTTCTTTTTTCTTTTCTTATTTTAAAGAATATTATTATTATGACTCCCTATCTGGCCTGGAACACCCACTATAGACTAGGCTGTTTTAGGACATCAGAGAGATCTGTCTCCAGTGCCTCCAGAGTGACTGCACTATAGGTGGCATTTCACTCACTGGATAACTTGTTTCATTTAATTGGCTTACAGAGGATGAGTGGTTGAGCCTAGGTGGTAGGGTAGCCAGTGCACAGGATCTGGTTCTAACTCCAGTAACAGAAGAAGGCTCCCATCCAATGCAGCCTTCCTGCCTTAAAGTCCACTATCTTACAACTATGAGCAATATTATGTTTCCTTATCATTGAGTCTTTTATAACTCATCAAAGGACCTGGGAAGATTTCTGTCATTATTCAGCAGATGGTAAAAGCCAGGCTCACAGAGATAAATAGTCTTTGAATATAGTTGATTGTAACTCCTTATGTTACTCATCCTGCCAATCTAATGCCTCACTAAATGAAGTTGAAGCCGCCTAAGTCAGGCATGGTGGCACAGGCCTGTAAACATAGTATTTAGAAAGTAGATGTAGAAATTTAAGGATTTCAAAATCATCCAAGAGGAGAATGGTCAATGGGGTATGGTGAGAGGACCACAGAACCAAGGGAGACTGTGATTGGTTCAGGAAAGTGTTCATAGTCTTCACTCTAGCTCCAGAACTTTATGGCCATGGCACCAGCAATTGTTAGCTGAGGTATTTACCACCCCAAGTTTTCTCTTCTTGATAATATTTTCTATTCTTGATGATGTTCCCTGTCCAAGGCAGCCTAATTCACTTTGGGGTCAGATTCTTGTTGCTCTTTAAAGAGTGGAATTCTCCTGTAGGTAGGAGAATTAGCCTCAGGCAAGGATGAGCTCCCTAATTGCATATCCAATACAATATGTTCAGCCCTGACCATATACACACAACCAACACAAATGGACTTAGTAGGTTTCATTTATATATTTGTGCATATTTACACATGCTTAACATGGAAGAAATTGTAAGGGAAGAATTTGTGGAGGGATGGAGAGAGGACAAGTGTAAGTGAAGTTTTCTGTGGTCCTGCCCAGCCCTGCAGACTCTGCAGCGACTTATAAAAATAATCACTCAGAAACTTATATTAATTAAAACTGCTCAGCCATTAGCTCAGGCCTACCACTGAGTGGCTCTTACACTTAAACTCAGCCCATTTCTGTTAATCTGTATGTCACCACATATTCCGTGGCTTTACATGTGTGCCATTACATGCTGCTTCCTGGATGACAGGCTGACATCTTCTGACTCAGCCTTCCACGTCCCAGAATTCTCCTTGTTTGTTTATCCCACCTATACTTCCTGCCTCAATACTAGCCAATCAATGTTTTGTTTATCGACCAATTAGAGCAACACATTCACAGCATACAGCACCAGAGAACCTCTTAGATCAAAAAGGGCTTTCCTCTTACTAGGCGTTTCAAGCTGTGAAGCAGATTGACTAGCTATCAGTACTCTTCCCCTGCACTGTCAGGGAACTGGTGGTAGAGGAAAAAAGTGACAGTTTTAACTTTTAGTGACCTACAGACTTATAACTTGTTTTCTGATTTTACAAGATATCACTGTCAAAATATTGTCCTGAGTGTCAGAAGAGACTTTGGACACTTGAGCACTGTAAGGTCTGTTGTAGACTATGAGGATCTTTGAAGTGACTGAATAAATGTATTTTCTTCATAAATGACCATGAGCCTATAGGGACCTGGGTTAGAATGTAGTTGATTGATAAACCTCCCTGATAGGATGATGTATTTGAACATGTGTCTTTTCCTTGATGACTTTCTTTTGATTGTTTGTAGTAGGGGGAGCCTTTCTGGATGAAATTCCTCATTCAGGGTGTGATAGGAGTCTCTATAGCCTCAACCCATTTCCTGTTCTTTGTGTCTACTGTGTTGTATTTGAAACTAATCAGCCAGCTTCCTTCTTGTGCTGTCATGCGTTCACCACCATTATAGACTCTATCTCTAAATCACATAAGATACAGTAGAAGCAATTGCTTTTCAGTGTTAAAGCAGTTTGTTAGCCTGCTGTTTTAAATATTTTGCTTCTTTGATTTTGAAGACAAGGTTTGTCTGTGTAGCCTTGGCTGTCCTGAAAGTATACCTCTGTATACTAGGTTGGCTTTGAACTCAGAGATTCCCTTAACTCTGGTTCCCAAGTCCTGGGATTAATGGTGGGCCAACATTCCTAGCTTTTTTTTGTTTTTGTTTTTATATTATTGGGTGATGGGTTTGGAATATAGGTTTTTGACAATGTAGCATATGTCAAGCATATGCTGTTGTACTGAGCTTCACCCATATTTTGAATTTTAAAATTTGGCAGATTATCATTCTGTTTCCCAGGATAGCATGTATTCATGACATTAATAGTGCCTGAACCTTCTGAGGTACTGGATTGCAGGTGACCTTCTTCCTGCCTATTTTGTTTGTTTTGAAATTTTAAATGAATGTGAATATTTTACCTGTATTCATTGATGTACACCACATGGGTACCTGGTCCTCGCAGTGATCAAAAGCTGTTCTCAGATATCCTGAACTTGGAATAAAGAATAGTTGTGATCCCCATGTAAGTACTGGCAATTGAGCCTACCTAAATGCAAAGCCAACAAGAGCTCTTTACTACTCACCCATCTCTCCTGCCCTGTGTTGATCATTTATGATCAACATTTATATTGCTAATGCTTTCATCTGTCCTTTTGTAACTGTTTAAACACACAGGGCCTTTTAGTAAAACCTTATTGATGTTACCATTAAATTGGGGCACTTCAGGTTTCTGGAAGATGAATAAAAAACTGGTTGGTGTAAATGCATAAGTCTTTGGAGGAACTTCAGTTTAAACCTCTGAGTTCTTTCTATCATTTTATTTGTTTGACGGGTTTTTGCATGGGAGATAGGGTCTTAATATGTACTCCTGGCTGTCCTGGACCTGATTGCATAGACTAGGCTGGCATTCGACTCAGAGGCAGACATATCTACCTCTGCCTTCTGAATGCTGGGGTTAAAGGCATAAGCCAATACACCCAATTTGTCCATCTTATTTTTCTTTTCTTTTTTTAGTTAGTAATTGTTCATACAATTTTTCTCATGTATACTCTGTGCTGTTGATCTGTTTAGTTGTCTTTCTATGTTTGTTAATAGGCATTTCATTTGCAAGGTCATATCCCATTCAAAGGGTGCAGAAATGACAGAGGTGACTCTCATATTTGGTTTCCTTCTAAAGTGACTTGGTGATTACATTATAATGTCTATGTCATGGAATAAGAGTAGGGAGCACCAGAATTATATGACTATGTTGTCAAAGCAGTATACACTTATAATGTTGTCAATATCATGCTTTCTGTTGTACATATATATGGAATATTTTAGAATGCAGTGACCTATGATGATGTGCATGTCAACTTCACTTGGGAGGAGTGGACATTGCTGGATCCTTCCCAGAAGAATCTCTACAAAGATGTGATGCTAGAGACCTACAGTAACCTCACTAGTATAGGTAAGACTGAATTTTTCTTTGTGTTTTAAAATAAGAGGACAACTGTTCCTTGGTTATTGATGCTCTTTTATAATTTATTAAGAAAGAACAAGAATGAGGTGAAAAAAACTAGGCTGGCTTGTAAGGTTCACTGAAGATAGTAACTAAAATTTTGCACAGTTTTCAATAATATAACATACATTTTATGGTACTATATTTTAGGATACAGTTGGGAAGACCATAATATTGAAGAACATTGTCAAAGTTCTAGGAGACATAAAAGGTAATTTCCATGTGAAAGTTGATACAAATGTGCTACCAAGGAAATTGTAATGTGTCCTGGAGTTTTAAACAAAAGCAACAGTGTAAATAAGCACAGCTTAAAGTGTATCAACAATTATTAAATTCTCACAAAACCATATATCTCAATTTCAGGTAGGTGAATTGTATTTGCAAAGCATTCTTTTAAGAAATAAATCAAGGAAACAATGCCTTAACAGATATTACAGTTTGAATCATAGCACCATGAGAGCTATGCTGTAGAATGGCCAATCCATTTAGTTTCATACTACTCATATTACAAAAGGTTAATACAGTGAAGAGGTGATAAGTATATCTTCAAGACTTTCTAATGAATAAATAGTCCATAGTAAAGCTAGTGTAACTCATATATTGTTGTGACTGTGCTGTTTAGTGAGGGGGTAGTAAGAGTCAAGAGTCATGGAGCAGTTGTTGTGGAGAAACCTTAATCCCCATACCACAAATCTATGAGGATAGAAAGTCCAACTGTGAATTCAATGTAGAAACCTTTTATTGGTTATTCTTCCTTTACTAGTGTATATCCATATACACTATGGATAGAAGTCATATGAGCATAGGGATATGGAAAAATATAACATTCCTCTCTTAGAACAATTAGAAGATATGTGGCAGTCCCCAAATTGTATACTTGTTGAATTTGATTCATGTATACAAGTAATCAATTTTCCTGTTTCATTGTTAATACATCAACAAACTCACACTGCCAAAAATTCCTAAGTTCTACAACTGTGTAAGAACTTCTGTTTGTTGTAGTTACTTTAGAAAATGTAGTACAACTCACAATACAGGAAAATTTGTGAATGCAATAAGGGTGTTAAAGCTCTGATTTTTTCCCCATTCTCTTCAAATATGTGAATAATCCCATGTAGAAAAAGGATTCTGTAAATCAGAACCATGTAATAAAGGATCATAGGTATCTTCACATATGCAAAACAACCCTTAATGAAGGGGAACAACATAAGTGTAAACATAGTGATAAAACATTAAGATCTAATTCCTCATTACAATTTGACAAAATTGTAAAATTAATTCATACAGATATAAAGATTCAACAATATATTGAATGTTCTAATCCCTTTTCATGTGCCATTAACCCTGCAGGCATGAAAGAAGTCAAATTGGAAAGAAAACTTCAGTAAATACTCAATGGGTATTTGCCTTTGCATATTCCAGTACTCTTCAAATGCATGAAAGAGCACATACAAGAAAGAAACCCTATGAATGTAATCAACATGGTAAAGCCTTTGCATATAACAGAAGTCTTCAAATACACAGAAGAACATGCACTGAAGAGAAACCCTATGAATGTAATCAGTGTGGTAAAGCCTTTGATTGTCACAATTATCTTCAAAAGCATAAAAGAACACATACAGGAGAGAAACCCTATGAATGTAATCAATGTGGTAAAGGCTTTGGATGTGACAGTCATCTTCAAAGGCATAAAATAACACACACTGGAGAGAAACCTTATGAATGTAATCAGTGTGGTAAAACCTTTGCATGGCACAGTTATCTTCAAAAGCATAAAAGAACACATACTGGAGAGAAACCCTATGAATGTAATCAGTGTGGTAAAGGCTTTGGATGTGACAGTCACCTTCAAAGGCATAAAATAACACATACTGGAGAGAAACCCTATGAATGTAATCAGTGTGGTAAAGCCTTTGCATGGCATGGCAATCTTCAAATACATAAAAGAACACATACAGGAGAGAAACCCTATGAATGTAATCAGTGTGGTAAAGCCTTTGCACATCACAAAAGTCTTCAAATGCATAAAAGAACACACACTGGAGAGAAACCCTATGAATGCAGTCAATGTGGTAAAGACTTTGCACAACAAGGTCATCTTCTAATACACAATAAAACTCATACTGGAGAGAAAGCCTATGAATGTAATCAATGTGGTAAAGCCTTTACATGGCACAGTAAGCTTATAAAGCATAAAAGAACACATACTGGAGAGAAACCCTATGAATGTAATCAGTGCAGTAAAGCCTTTGCATGGCATAGTTATCTTCAAAAGCATAAAAGAACACATACAGGAGAGAAACCCTATGAATGTGATCAGTGTGGTAAAGCCTTTGCATGTCCCAAAGGTTTCCGGAGGCATAAAAGAACACATACTGGAGAGAAACCCTATGAATGTAATCAGTGTGGTAAAGCCTTTGCATGGCACAGTTATCTTCAAAAGCATAAAAGAACACATACTGGAGAGAAACCCTATGAATGTAATCAGTGTGGTAAAGCCTTTGCATGGCAGAGTTATCTTCAAAATCATGTGAAAAAATCATGTTGCAGAGAAACCCCATAAATATAGTCAGTGTGGTAAAGTTTTGCATTTTGTACAAGAGCATAACTTTTTGTGTGCAATCAATCTGTTAAAGCCTGTCCATATTACAATAGTCTTTGACTATCTGAAACAGATACTGAGGGCTTCTTATTATACATTATTTTGTAAGATCTTTAGCCAATACACAATCAGTTACACAAAAGTATGTATTCTGTAGAACAATATTTGACAGTGTCAACAATCTGTTCAAGCATTATGATGTCCATTTTTATATTGTTTGCACCAGAAAACTCATGGAAAAAAATGAATTCATGAATTTATGAAGCCCTATGTATAGGATAAAACAGCCAGCCAAAGAAACATACCCTGACCATGAAACCAGAGAGATTGAAAGACACACCCTTTGCGCCTGAAATCAGAGCCAAAAAGCACACCCTGATTCTGAAACCAGAGTCAAACACACTTTGTCCCTGAAACCAGAGCTAGTGAAATAAACACACTGAACCTGAAAAAAAAACACCCCAAAGTTTAAAAGCTGCCAGTGAAAGCAACACACTTTGGCTCTGAAATCAGAGCCAAAGAAACACATTCTACCCTTGACCAACTAAGTACAAAACCAACCAGTCCCTGAGCTTGAAACCAGCCAATCTCTAAGCATGAAATCCAGCCAATCTTTGAGCTTGTTCAAGCACTGTCACTGTTCAGTTGGTAACTGCCTTTCTCTACACTGGCAGAGGCAGCCACCCCTGGATTCTTCCCTCCCATATAAATCTCTTGAATGAGTTTTGGGTGAAGACTTTTCAATGAAGCAGATCAGAAACTATTGGATTGGAGCAGAGAAGCAACAGACACTTCTGTTGGCAAACTCCTTTAAAGGAGCAGAGCTGAAGTAACAATTTTTCACTGGGGACTGCTACATTTCTGCAGTAGTTTTCCCCTTACTTGAGTGAAGCAGAGAAGTAATAATTAGGGTTGGAGCTGAGATGAAATTGAGATCTCTGCTGGGAAACTTTCTAGTAGAGCAGAGCAGATAAGAAATTGACAACTCTGCTGAGAAACTCCCTTATAGGAGTGGAGAAGAGCAGCAATGGACATCTCTGCTAGGAAACTCTCTTAGCAGAGTGGAGCGGAGCATAGATGTAATGCCTCTCTTGGAGAGGAGTGGGATTACTACATCCTGTGGCGAGACCATTCCCCACTGGAATACAGCTTCAGGTATATCCTGACTTCCCAACAGTCAGGGTACCTTTCTCCTCACAGCTGTTGGTATCCAGGTATCTTCCCTTCATGGCAGTAGGTATAGCCTGACTTCTAACCATCAGGCTACCATTCTCTTTAGAGCTGTAGGTATCCAGCATATCCTCCTTTCATAGCTGTAGGTATAACCCGATTCTGACAGTCAGGGTACCTTTCCCTCCAGAGCTTTAACACTTGTACTATGAATTTAAATGATAATGTAACCCCTTTAGATTTTCTCTTCAATTACACAAAATAACTAATTCAGGTGTAAAACTTTATGGATTTGTATTAATTCCTTTTCCATTATTGGGATATAATGTCTAAGTCAACTTATAAATGAGTTTAATTTGGCCCTTGTTTCCAGAGGGATACAAGGTCACTATGAAAGTGACATGGCAACAAGTGTCAGACATGACAGCTAAAGCAGGATGCTAAGGAGTCACATCCTTAACCTTTAGCATGAAGCAGAGAGTGGGAACTGGAAATGGTCAAATTCTCTAAGCCTATCTCCAGTGACATATTTCCTCCAGCAGGGCAGCATCTCCTAAATATTCCCAAATAAAACCACCAACTTAGAAGGATTGATTTCTCAGACTTCATGACTAAGTGCTTGCTTTTTTTTTATGTGAATGAATTCATGGTGAAGGAAAAACTCTAAGCCATTAGATGCCTCAATACCTGTGTTACAGGAATGAATGCTTACAAGAGAAAATCTTCCATGAATGAAAGACTGTTTGTTTAAAGAATTATTCTAATTCTATATGATATCAGTGTGTGTTTGTGTGGTTATGTGAATATGCATGCTCATTCCTGTGAACATTAGACCCTTGGATCTTCTTGTAGCAGAAATTACAGGAAGTTGTCAAAAATTGAACTTTGGTCCTGGGAGTGAACATTTCTTAACTGCCAAGCCATGTCTCTAGTACTGTAAATATTGTAAAGCCTATTTGTATTATCTTGAAGTCAGGAAATAGGGACAAACTCATACAACAGAACAACCCTGTTCACATAAATGATTTAGTAAAGACTTTAGACATCACAATTGTTTTCAGCTTCAAGGGAAAAAAATCATGTTTCATTTATTTTTCATCATAGCCTTGAAGGACTAAATTATCATGTTCACTCAAGACTGATGGTGGAGATCACTGCCTTGTTGTTTCCATTTTTGAAAGATTTGATGTAGATACTAAAGTGTGCTCTATGTGTGGCAGATCCATTTAGTGAAGTTTATTTTGTGGTCATTATATTCCTTTTATGGCTTTTTTTCACCTTCTATTGTGCTTTTACTTAGTGATAGGTACTTTTCTGCTGTAATGTATAGAATGGTATCACCATCATCTAAGTCATCCATTGTTTTCTTAAATGTCAGGCAGTGTGTGATCATACTTTTCAAGTAAGGGTATCTGTGAAATGGTTGTTGTTCTTGGTTTTGTTTTGCATATTTTCACAAATTCCCCTGAGATTTTTGTTGTTTGTTATTCAGCTTGGCTTGGATGTCAGTAATGATTCAGGAATACATTTGAACTCATGATACTCATATGTCTGCCTCCTGAGAACAAGTCCAAGGGTTGATGATGTATTACCAACATGTGCTGTTTTGTCAACACAATTTAACAATGCTAATGTTAAAATGCTTAATATAAGAGAATATAAGAAACATTAAATACCTCATATGTATATTCAAAGCAGTATTTTCATTTATCTGGTAAATTTGTAATAAAGTAGGATAATCTGCCATCAATTGTGTATTTCATACTATACCTTGATGTTCTACAGATACACACACACACACATACACACAAAATGTGTGTGTATGTGTGTATGTGGTATATATTTTTGTACCCTAATAAAATTTTCCTGAAGATCAGAGAGCAGAACAAGCCACTATATTAAACATAGAAGTCAGGCAGTGGTAGCACACACCTTTAATCCTTGCTTTTGGGAGGCAGCAATCCTTCTGGATCTCTGTGGGTGCAAATCCACCCTGGACTACATGAGATTGATTCAGTCTAGAAAAGAAACAGATCTAGGCAGTGGTGGCATACACCTTTAATGCCAGTACTTGGGAATCACATGCCTTTAATCCCTGCACTGTAGATATAACCAACCTTCTTATTAAATAAGAAACACAGAACCAATGCAAAGAAGAAAGCCAAGAGGTCAGAGCTAAGAGCTAAAACCTTACCCTTCCTCCTGCGGTGGTCCTACCTCTCCGAATCAGAGCTACTTTCTGTGTTAAAGTCCTTATATAGAATTTCTGTTCTGCCTTCTCATTGGTTGTAAACCCAACCACATGACCACCTCGTCACGGCCTGTCTGTATAGACCTCCAGGTTTTCCATGATTGGTATTGAGATTAAAGGCATGTGTATCCAATGATGGCTGTATCCCTGAACACACAGACTTACCTAGGTCTGCCTACCAAGTGCTGGGATTACAAGCGTACACCACCACTGCCCTGCTTTCCTATGGCTTGCTAATAGCTCTGACCCTGGGCAACTTTATTTATTAACATACAAATAACATTGTAATACAAATAAAATATCACCATAGTTAAAAGCATAAGAGAATGAACTGAGGGGCTGGAGAGATGGTTCAGAGGTTAAGAGCACTGATTGCTCTTCTAGAGGTCCTAAGTTCAATTCCCAGCAACCACATGGTGGCTCACAACCATCTGTAATGAGATCTGGTGCCCTCTTCTGGCCTGCAGGGATACATGCAGGCAGAACATTGTATACACAATAAACAAATCTTAAAAAAAAAAAAAAAAGAATGAACTGAGCCAGGCCCACCATCTGAGTCTGCAGAAAAAATCTAGTCCAATGTCAAAAATCTGAATTGCAGTGACAATGACTTTCTCACACTTTTCTTTCAAAAGATAAAAGTTTGTATCAGATTTTTAATGCTATGAAACTACAAACTTTTAAATAATGCAGTTTTAAAATTCTTTGAGAATTTCATCCATGCATACAGTGTATTTTGATCATATTCTCCTTCATTTCTCCTAGATGGTTCCTGATCCACTCTCTTAATTCCAACATTACTAAATCCATGCCCATTGTTTTGTTTTAAATCATCTATCTAGGGCAACACTGCATGCCCATATGCTCATGTGTTAGAGCCATCACTAAGTTTGCTCAAACTACCTGGCATCAGCACCCTAAAGTAAAATGATTCTTCCTCCTCCAAAGCCATCAACTGCCACCAGCTTCTCTGCAGTAGTCCTGTCATGCCCAGAAGATCCTGTTTTATTCCAAGCTTCATAATATGCTACAAGCACATCAGAAATATCAAACATGACATAAAATATAATTAAGTGTTGACAAGAATTCTAAAGAAAATGTTAATGTTCTTAATTTGACTGATTCTATTCCCACATGAATTATAATTAAATGAATCAAGGCAGTACTGTATCATGAATCTGGTTGTTGTTTTTTATACTTGAGAATGCTTCAGGTAATTTCTTCTATCTATACAATTTCTAAAACACACAGCCAGAAGCTGAACATGACAAAAGATCATTGAAAACTGAACTGAGGCTATATTCATATTCTTGATATTCAGATAACCATGATTGCATTTGGTAATTGAAAACTGGTCTGCCTGATATTTGGGACATAACTTTCAGTTTACCTCAGTTCTTCTCTTACACATTAACATAGAGAATTACAGTAGATTCGGTGACGTAAACAGTGTGTTCACTCCAGAGCTGAATGCTGCCATCTACAGCCCGATGAATAAGGGTAGAAAGAGAGCTCTAAGGGCATCCTCATCAGAATAGCATTGTCCTTGCTGACTGCCTGAATTTAGAATTAAGTGGATAGTCTAGGCATCAAGGTAATTGTACCTATCAATATTCAGACTCTATTGGATTCTTGTCTGGATTGTTTTACTGATTTTGTTTCTCGTAATTTTCCATGTATATGCATATATGAGTACATATATATGTTTAATATACTTCCCATTTGCTTCAGTAATTCTTTTCTATTTCTTTTTTCAGAAACATGGTCAAACGATGTTGTTTTTTTTTCTTACAAGATATTAGGGACTTGAACTTAATATACAAATATCATATCAAATGTGAACATTTTTCTCAAAGAAGGATCCCATTGTATTATTTTTTAAACTCCCAGGATGATGTGTTATGACAATCACCAAAGCATTAACAAATAAAGACTTTTCTCACATATTGTCAGAGTTCCTCCCATATTTCATTTTCCTTATTCTGACTTTTCTCGGTTAACATTCTGGAATGACCCACCTCATTCTGACCTTTCAACTGCAGGCACTTCCGCATTTCATTTCATCAACTTGCTGCATCTCCTCTTTCCTTAAAGAATTCCAGACTAATCATTGATTAGGGTGTCCTTGTGCTGATGAGCTCAATGCTAGGAAACCCCCTACTAAGTCTGTTGTCTTTATAAAAACAACATCCCCCAAAGACAAACACGATCAGTCCAACACATTCTAGGAAAGTCTATGAGATGGCATCAGACATTGGTAGTCTTAAATCTTCCATTTCCCTCTGACTTTTCTCTAAAGTATGTCCTTAAAAGTCAGGCGATGGGAATTTAGCTCAGTGGTAGAGTGCTTGTCTAGCAAGCACAAAGCCTTGGGCTTGGTCCTCAGCTCTGAAAAAAAAAGTGGTCTAAATTTTATCTTCAGAGTATCTAGCCTGTTGCATATTCCCTACCCAGAGACTCTTGTCTCTCCATTACAATAATCCGTATCACCATGCTAGAACTCAACTTGTTTTGTCACAACCTTTCTGTATCATATGCTGTATCCATGATTCCTTGTTCCTTTCTAGAGTTCTACACAAAACCTGAAATGTTTATTTAAAAAGATTCTTGGGGGACTAGAATGCCAGGGCTGCCTCAATGACCAGTATTTGTCCCATCTCACCTCACATATCAGCCTAAAGTAAAAGTGGGACCACTGAGAGACAATTGGAACAGAACTAAATTTGAGGGCTATTTCTGGGAACCAGACGTCCTAGAATGGTTCAGATTCAAAGGCCTACAGATGCTGAAAGAAAAATTCTGAGTTCTTCACCCAAGGAACACAAACAATAATAGGTCCAGCCTATATTGTTTACTCCCAGGGTCCATGGAAGAGTCTAACAACCAGTTGAGGATTCTAGCTGGAGGGATATTAAATTAATCTAAGCACACTGAGTCCTTTAGTCCATTCACTTTATTCTTCTAAGTCAATTCTATCTACAGAGTTTCTTTTCTGCTCTCTTACTTAGCTCCTCTCAGTCCCTCCTGCTCTCGGTCCCTTCTGCTGTTCTCTCATCATTCTACCTAGTTCTTTCCATCTCTGTCCTCATCTTTGGTTTTCTCAATCAATTCTCTCTAGTGCTGAGAACCAGTATATATACATATGCAGTAATTCTTTGGCAAAGCAATTCGAGGCTTGAAGTTTTCAGGGTCGCAGAAAGAGGTGATAATGATCCACACATAAAGCAATTAATTGTCAGCATCCAATTACAATCCAAAAGGGGAGTGACTAAAGGGGAGTTCTCTGGTAGGGTCAACTAAAGGCCAAGATCAATTAGGGCATTTATGTGCTCAAACTATAATCTAGAAATGGCTAGGTAGAATGTTAGGGGTCAACAAGTCACAAGAAAGTAAACTGTTTTTGGCGCCACTTTTCCCACTTGTCCTGGCTGCAGCTGCTTTCTGACAGGGAGGGGGACATATGCTAGCTAGGTGGCTAAGCAACCTATGTCAGAGGTGTAGTATTTGGTTAGTAAAAGCACTTTCACTCAGAGTAATTGCTGAGAAGAAAATCTAGGAATAGTACCTGGCTGAGGAGGAATAAAAACTTAACTTGCACAAGAAAGAATCTTGGCACCTATCACCTGCCTGGCCTTGTAGGCAATCTCCTTGGGTCAGTGGGAAGTAACTGCCTTAACTCAGTAACTAGTAAATGGCTAAAACATCATCTTAGGAATGTGAGCAGTAAATCTCTTAAATTAGTGTCTTGTGTAAATAAGCTGGGGTGAAGGTAAGGGATTGAGGATTTAATTGGTAGTGGTTCTTTTCTCTATCTGTGGGTGAGATGAGCTCATGTTTATCTATGTGCAGTTTTGTCCTTGGAAAAAGGTATCTTTGCTGAAATACTTTTGTCTGGAGAATGGCCCTGGCCAGATATATGTTAATGAAAAATAAATGCAGCTGGGGACAGTTATCCAATTACCCCAAATATACAGGGAAAGTTGTGCCCAAGATTAAGATGCAATCTTGAGATTACATATACACGTAACATGGAGATGCATGGTAAATGGGGAGACTCATAGCTGTTACTGCACAAGAAGTTTACAACCAGAGACAACCAGTTCATTCAAAAGGCAGTAACTCCATAACGCCTTGCATGATGGTTTCCTCTAACAGAACCCTTAGTTCTGATAGGTTGACCTTGTGAACACTAGTTGTCACTGCTGTATACTCTCATGGATTTTCGCTACCAGTGGCTCTCAATACCCATCTATTGATTCAAGGTTTGGGTCATCATATTCTTTCTAGAAATTGTTTGCTCAGTGACTCCAACCAGACCTGTCCAGCACTAGTCACATCTTTACTAACAACCTCATAGCTTGAGTGAGTTCTATTGACACTCTGGGGGAAATCTTCATAACTGCCTTAAGTGTGACTTTTTTTTTGAACCCACCAATCTCTAAAAGTTGAGGATCTTCCCTGGGTGATTGTTCACTTCAGAGTTCTCTTCCCTAATACTCCCCATTATCTGACCTGATTTCTAAGCTTCATTTATTTCTCATCTTACTGATTATGGATCTTAAGGAGGGCAAAAGCCAACCTTGGACAGCGCATGGAAAGTGAGCTTTCAACTTCACTTAGATAAAGTTTCTAATGAAGCAGAGGGCTAGATTTCTGGCTTTGGAAGGAGGATCTACCTAAAGGCTTCCATTGTGACCACAGAGGATCTTGGAAATGGCACCTTGGTTTCAAGTCACTTTTGGGTGAAGTCTGTAGCAGGGATGTAATAACTACACCATGTGACATCAGCACATGGACATTCTACTGTCTCCTGGAGAGCCCTGGCATTCACTATGATGTCACCAGTGTTGTGGCAACAGCAACATCCTTGGGACATTCGTTCAGTGTCTCGTGTTTCACCTACAGACATGCTGACTAGACTGAACAGGATTCTTGGGAGACAGGATGGCGAGCACAGGGAGATCAGAGGAAGGCAGAAGGATGATCACCTTCAGTCTCCATGTCACACATCAAAAAATAAATGGTTCTGGGGAAAGCGCAGTGAGTCCTGGGCAAGGGATGGGGAGCTTCCTGAAGGAGGAAGGCTTCAGCTGATCTTTTCAGGAGTGGGGCTAAGGAGGGGAGAGTTTCTGAGAAGCAATGGGCCTATCCTGGTCCTCTGAGTTCTTCAAGAGAACACAAGTGTGTTCTTCGACAGAGTGCTTGTAGATTTTGTGTTGACAAACTTGGTGGAGCAGTCCTACTTGAGGCTCTTATGCTGATGGCATTTACTGACACAGACTAAGACTTTTCGGCTTTAGACACAGTAGTGGGAAGTTTCTTGCTTGTTGCAAGACTCTCACTGTTGACATTTGGAAGCTTTCTAAATGAATTAATCTTAGACTGAACAGCCTGGCCATGATAACAGCCAAGCACTCCTTTTTTAGGCATGTTAGCATCCTGTTGGTGCTTTTCTGCAGTTGATTACATCTTTTTACTGTCTTTAAGGTGACATGCCTGGTCTGATGTCATAGTCTGTCCTTGGAAATCATCTGTAGTTGATGATAATTGCACAGCTTGAGTATTATCCTTCAAGTTGTGTATTTCTGAATTGGTTACATCATCAGCTTTTGATGGAATGCAGTTTTTTCAATTGTGTTTCTAATATTTTCTTCATCAGCCTATAAGAGTTAAGAGGTCTCAGTGTTTCAGAATTTATTTCTTCATAATGAATGCAGAAAAGGTCTGAGTGCTAAACACATACCTTACCATTTCTGTTTTGAGTTTCAGAACTCTCTTCCCTTCTTGGACCTGATCTTCAGATGTCATCACTTCCTGATCTCTATTAATTAAAAAATTAATTAGTTCTGTTTGAAGGAGATTTATTTTAGGGAAGGGGAGGGAGCTTTGTGTACAAACTAAGCAAATGCTCTACCACTGAGCTACAGTCAAGATCCCACATTTTAAAATTTTAATTTGAGTCAAGAAGTGAAATAAGATTTGTGTAGTTAATGGAGTAGACAAGATTCTGCTGTGGGATGGTCTGTATGGCAAATGTGTTGCTGATTGGTCAATAAATAAAACACTGATTGGCCATTGGCTAGGCAGGAAGTATAGGCGGGACAAGGAGGAGAATAAAGCTGGGAAGTGGAAGGCTGAGTCAGAGAGACACTGCCAGCCGCCACAATGACAAACAGCATGTGAAGATGCCGGTAAGCCATGAGCCATGTGGCAAGGTATAGATTAATGGAAATGGATTAATTTAAGCTGTAAGAACAGTTAGCAAGAAGCCTGCCATGGCCATACAGTTTGTAACCAATATAAGTCTCTGTGTTTACTTGGTCGGGTCTGAGCGGCTGTGGGACTGGTGGGTGACAGAGATTTGTCCTGACTGTGGGCCAGGCAGGAAAACTCTAGCTACAAGATTCTTTTAAACTCTTAGCTCAAATTTTTTTTCAGCTATAGACCTGTACAGTATCTGATGATCCCTTAGCAAATACATGCAAAATCAAGAAAAGAAATTAAATATTGTCAATTAGACATTCCAGTAATTCTAAAACAGATTCACAAATTCAGAGAGTATGCTAAAATGTGGGGACATTGTTATCTGGTAGAACTGACAAAATCTGGTATTTTAGAGCTAATGAAACTAACAACTGCAGAGGAAGATTATCACCCTCCAACTCTGCTTTTCTATTGGATAAAGTCCACCTAGGCAGAGGGCCACCTGCTGTCCTCCAAGTCACAGATTCAAATATTAGGTCACACCTAAAAGATTTTCTTCTTGTATTTTGTTAGTTTTTGTTTTTTGAGACAGGGTTTCTGTGTAGCCCTGGCTGTCCTAGAGCTTACTCTGGAGACCAATCTGCCCCCCCACTCAGAGTTGAGACAGCCCTCTGCCTCTGAGTCCTGGGATTAAAGGCATGTGCCACCCTGTGGGTCGTTTACCCAACCACCCCCACAGTTCCCCCGGAGTTTTCTTGAGTGCGAGCAGCAGGAAATATTAGATAGAAGGATTTATTGCGGAGAATATCATGGAGATAAACAGATAGAAAATAAAGGATAGCCTCGAGAGGGCCTGGAACCTATTCCAACGGGCCCCGACTGTCTCTGCCCCAGGGTATTTATAGAGATGCCAAGGGGTAGAGCAAAAGACCTCCTCCCCCAGCACAGCCAAGTGCAGACCATCCCAGACACCTGCACTTAGGCCCGTGGTCTAATCATCCTCTATGCGGACCTGCTGGGTAAAGCCACAAGGAACCCGAGAACGGGCTCCCACACCACCCAAGCCTGTCCTTAAAGATTCTCTTACTGCAACATCTAGGCTACTGTTTGACCAAACAACTGGGCATTGTAACCCCAAAAGACATAGGAAATTACCCATCACAGCTGCAGTGGTACCATTCTATGATCCTTTGAGACAGAAGGAATTCAAGTTTGAGGCCAGGGTGTTTAGAATGCAGATTTTCAAAACCAAACACTGACTTCAGTATGGCTCCTAAGTCAGTATCTCAGTACATATACAATACACTTTTCTTTAAAACTGTTTTCTCTTGGACCTGTGAGATGGCTCAGCAGATGCCGCTGCTTGTCACCAAGCCTGACTACCTCAGTTTCATTCACAGAGTACACATGCCTGAAGGTTACTGTGGTCTGCATATGTGTACCATATCTTGCATGCACCTGCACAAATGGGTAAGCAAGTGAATATACACAGAGAATAAACATTTAAAGGAATTGTAATTGTTGCCCTTGAAGAGTTTGAACAGATATAGAAAATGATGATCTAGTGCATCATCCACATAAAGTAGCCTCAGGTACTAATCAAGGTGTGTTGAAAGTGCTAACACACACCAGACTTTTTGAAGACTTGATAACAAAAGAGAAGGTTAAGTGCCATAGTGCCTTTTCTTTTTTTTGGTGCTTCAGTGGCGACATTCTCCTCCTGGAATACATGTCCAGGCCTCTTAGTGCTTTTAAATATCACATTAAAGTAATAATATCTGGAATCATAACTGTATTGCTGTTATAATTCATTTTGTTTAACATTAAAATGGTTAGGAGGAAAGTAAAAATTACAAATGTGGCACATGTTATGTTCTTAGTGGACAACTCTAATGTATTCTGAGAACTGAATTGAACTTGACCTCTCCTGGATATCTGATATTCTTGTTTGTGTTGAAACATTTATTTTTTGTATTAACAGATATTCCTTGAGTTTTTGTTTTCTTTGTTCTATATAGTAAGGAGTAACAAATTCAACTCTAGTTAAAACATCAAATATGGTTGAATAAAAAATTATTTTACTTGGAAAATTATTTTGATACAGTATTGTCTATAATGATGTGAAAGTAATTCAAATGAATAGAATTAGTGTTATAAAGTGTTTGCTATTGTATTTGCTTGTGAGACAGTGAATCACACAAAGTAGAATTTAGCTAAGCCAGCACTGCCTCCAGAAATACTCCCCAGGTAAGTGAGGCTAACCAGGCAGGTTAGAGGTAAGATTGAAGATGCTAGGATGTAAATGTTTATTCACTAGAATTGACCAGCCTTTTGGCTCTAGTCACATAACAAAGAACATTTCCTCTAACAGGCTGCTCAAGGTGGGTAGAGAGGGTCACAACCACCAAGTCCTGGTCTGCCATAAACGTCCTGTTAAAAACATAACTCTTGCTCAGTGCCATCAGCCTGGATAGAAGATAGACTTTAACACATTCTGAGGCAGGGCAGTGCTGATTGAGAATGTGGCATCACTCTGAGGAACAACCACCAGAGACTTCAACCAGCTCAATGAATTGCAATGTCGCTTCCCCAGGCGCCTGGTGGTTCTCGGCTTCCCTTGCAACCAATTTAGACATCAGGAGAACTGTCAGAACGAGGAGATCCTGAACAGCCTCAAGTATGTCCACCCTGGGGGTGGGTACCAGCCCACTTTCAGTCTTACCCAGAAGTGTGATGTCAATGGGCAGAATGAGCATCCTGTCTTTGCCTACCTGAAAGACAAGCTACCCTACCCTTATGATGACCCATTCTCCCTCATGACCGATCCCAAGCTCATCATGTGGAGTCCAGTGTGCCACTCAGATGTGGCCTGGAACTTTGAGAAGTTCCTCATAGGGCCAGAAGGGGAGTCATTCCGCCGCTATAGCTACACCTTCCAAACCATCAACATTGAGCCTGACATCAAACGTCTCCTCAAAGTTGCTATCTGTAGCTAGAGTTTTCCTGCCTGGCCCACAGTCAGGACAAATCTCTGTCACCTGCCAGTCCCACAGCCGCTCAGACCCGACCAAGTAAACACAGAGACTTATATTGGTTACAAACTGTATGGCCATGGCAGGCTTCTTGCTAACTGTTCTTACAGCTTACATTAATCCATTTCCATTAATCTATACCTTGCCACATGGCTCGTGGCTTACCGGCATCTTCACATGCTGTTTGTCACCGTGGAGGCTGGCAGTGTCTCTCTGACTCAGCCTTCCACTTCCCAGCTTTATTCTCCTCCTTGTCCCGCCTACACTTCCTGCCTAGCCAATGGCCAATCAGTGTTTTATTTATTGACTAATCAGCAACACATTTGCCATACAGAACATCCCACAGCAGCTATCTAGACGTGAGCTCTCGGCCTAGGTATCTCCCACTGTTTCCAGTCCCCAGGTATTCCTCAGGGCTCAGTGTACCCCCAGGAGACACTGAGGGACTGAAGCATCCCCTTCACTGAAGCACCTGGCCTCCCCCCGCCTGCCTGTTTCTTTTAGCTCCCTCAACACTCTTGAGTCCACTTGGGGCTCTAAGTCTGGGGTAGGCTCTGGGCCTTCACAGAATGATGGCACCTTCCTAAACCCTTATGGGAGATGTCTGAGAAGTTGTGAACACCCAGAGCCAGCCTGCTTTAGAGTCCAATAAAGGGCAGGTATGGAAAAAAAAAAACCATAACTCTTGCCAGGTGGGCAAGATGACCCTATGTAGCAGCTATTTGAAAAGAACAACACTGATGTGCTTAAGAAAGAATTTTGGCAATTATCTTTGCTGTGTCAATCTCCCATCTGCCCTAGTGGCCAGACAAAAAGTCTCCTGTCTCGGTTTAAATTCTTCAAAGTTTAACCTGGAGTCAAGATCTGAAGCAGACTTAGTAATTGAAAGCACATGTAAAATGCACAAGCCTAAAGGGTATATAAGCCAGTGGACACAGACTCCACCAGCTCTGAGTGGACCAAGAGGTGAGTCTTTGTTCTCCTAGATGATCAACCCATCTTCTATGTTTTAGGCCCAGAGGCACAACCAGTGCCCCCATCCCCCCACCCATTGGAGTCCCAGTTGCAGGCCACCAGGTAGGACTCCTACAGGCAGGCTGGACTACCACCTCCCTCACCAGACCCTGTAACCTACAAGCCCTGCCCCACCCCCCAAACCCACCCATCCTCCAAGGTCACAGCTGCTCCCTGAGACACAGGCTCTGCCAGCTAAGAGAGGACCAAGAGCTCCCATTGGAACATGAGTACCCACTGGACCTAAAGAGGCTCACTCAGACAGACACCATTTGCACTGAATGGAGAGAGATAAGTAGATGCCAGTCCAAAAAATATATTCAACAACATAAAAATCAATATGGCATCACCAGAACCTAGTGTTTCTACATCAGCAAACCTCAAAATCCCAACACAGAAGAAATCAGCCTTAAAAATGACTTTAAGATGATGATAGAGGCCTTTAAAGGGAAAAATTCCCTTAAAGAAATCAAGGAAAAGACAAACAAAAAATTGGGAGAAATCAATAAATCCCTTGAAGAAAACCAAGAAAAAGCAATCAAACAGGTGAAGGAAACAGTTCAAGACTTGAAAACTGAAATAGAGGCAATAAAGATGACACAAACAAGGAATGCTGGAAATGGAAAATCTGAGTAAATGAACAGTGTGATGGTATTCATGCTGAGCTGCACCTGGCCTCGCTCCAGAGAGTAGCACCTAGCCCTAATCCATCTTTTGGTTAGCAGACACCTTTCGTTACCTTGTTGCCCTCTATGTGAATCTAGTCTTGGAATCTCACAAGGAAACAAAGGCCTATGCTAAATTTGGTTCAGGAAACCCGGAAAACCGAGGTACCTGACAAATCAGAAATTTGCACTTGACATTGTATTTTTGGAAGCACCTTTCAGGTTGTTTTGAGCATATGGAAATTTACTGGCTGAACTGTACTGGAAAGAAATAAAACTGCCCTAGTGTGGGAGCCCATTTTCAGGTTCCTCGTGGCTTTACCCAGCAGGTCCGCATAGAGAGGATGATTGGACCAAGGGCCTGAGTGCAGGTGTCTGAGATGGTCTGCACTTGGCTGTGCTGGGGGAGGAGGTCTTTTGCTCCACCCCTTGGCATCTCTATAAATACCCTGGGGCAGAGACAGTTGGGGCCCATTGGAAAAGGGTTCCAGGCCCTCTCGAGGGTATCCTTTATTTTCTATCTGTTTATCTCCGCAATATTCTCCGCAATAGAAATCCTATCTAATATTTCCTGCTGCTCACACTCAAGAAAACTCTGGGGAGCTGTGGGGTTGGTGGGTAAATGCCCCACACCCTAGGTGAAGGGATAGTTCTTCAGTCCTTCAAGGCTGGACTCCCCTGCAGCCATGAAAGTCTAGATTCATTCTTAAGATGCCTCTGAGTCTTCATTCCACAGACCTGCATGAACCCACACACCCATGTAGTGACACTCAGTAACAGAACAGGAGCTACAGGTGCAAGCAAAACCAACAGAATGCAAGAGATGGGTGAGAGAATCTCTGGCATTGAATATATGATAGAGGAAACATTTGTCAGTCAAAGAAAACATTAAAGCCAACAAAGTCGTAACACAAAATGTCCAGGAAGTCTGAGACACCATGAAAAGACCAAACCTAAGAATGATAGGGATAGAAGAAGAATACCAGCTCAAAGGCACAGAGAATATATTCAACAAAATCATAGAAGAAAATTTTTATAACCTAAGGAAGGAAATGCCTATGAAGATACAAGAAGCTTACAGAACACTAAATAGACTGGACCCCCTCAAAATGTCCCCTTTCCACATAATAATCAAACCACTAAACATACAGAATAAAGAAAAAATATTAAGAGCTGCAAAGGAAAAAGGCCAAGTAACATAAAAAGGCAGACCCATGAGAATAACATTTGCCTTCTCAGTGGAGGCTCTGAAAGTCAAAAGGTCCTGGATAGACATGCAGACACTAAGAGACCATGGATGCAAACCCAGGCCATTATACCCAGCAAAACTCTCAATCACCATAGACAGAGGAAATAAAATATTCCACGACAAAACCAGATTTAAACAATATCTATCCACAAATCCAGCCCTACAGAAAGCACTAGAAGGAAAAATCCAACCTAAGGAAGTTAGATGCACCCATGAAAACACAGGCAATAGATAATCCCACACCAACAAATACCAAAGAAAGGAAACACTACCACCAAAAAAATAACAGGAATTAACAATCACTGGTCATTAAAATTCCTTATATCAGCCGGGCGGTGGTGGCGCATGCCTTTAATCCCAGCACTCGGGAGGCAGAGGCAGGAGGATCTCTGTGAGTTCGAGGCCAGCCTGGTCTACAAAGTGAGTTCCAGGAAAGGCGCACAACTACAGAGAAACCCTGTCTCGAAAAACCAACAAAAAAAAATTCCTTATATCAGTGGACTCAATTCACCTGTGGACTCAATTCACCTGTAAAAAGACACAGACTAACAGAATGGATACAAAAACAGGATCCATCCTTCTGCTGCATACAAGAAACACACCTCAACTTCAAAGACAGACACTGCCTCAAGTAAACGGCTGGGAACAGACTTTCCAATCAAATGGATTCAAGAAGCAAGCTGGTGTAGCTATCCTAATATCTAACAAAATAGACTTTAAGCTAAAAATCAAGAGATCAGGAAGGACTTTACATATTCACAGGAAAAATCCATCTAGATAAAGTCTCAATTCTGAACATTAATGCCCCAAATACAAAGGCACCCACATATGTAAAAGAAACATTACTAAAGCTTAAATTGCACATCAAACCCCACACACTAGTAGTGGGAGACTTCAACACCCCACTCTCACCAATGGAAAGGCCTGTCAGACAGAAACGTAACAGAGAAATAAGGAAACTAAAAAATATGACTGAAATGGACTTAATAGATATCTACAGAACATTCTGCCCCAACACAAAAGAATATACCTTCGTCTTGGCACCCCATGGAACCTTCTCTAAAATTGACCACATACCTGTTCACAAAGCAAATCTCAACAGATTTTTTAAAAATGGAATAACCTCCAGTATA